CCTAAACCCCCAAACCTTACACCCTTAAACCCTACTACTGGGGAATCCTAGGCTTTGGTCGCAGTTCACCGCGACCTGCGAGGAGGCGACCTCGGAGGACAGCGCTGCGAGCTTTGGTGGCCCCTCCTTTAGAGGACACTTTGAGTTGTTTTTTGTTTCTATAGAATTTAGGGGTTTAGGGTTTGTATTTTTATTTTTTCATAAGCATAAGAACAACTTAGAGGACACGCTGATCCGTGTGTTCAAGGATGGTGTAGAGACCACTGGGCGCAAGCAGGGTAATGGATGGGTAGTGGAGGCAGAGGAGGAGATAGCTCACCAAGCATTGTACTACAGCAGGTTCCGGATCGATGGCATTCCACAGCGCCAGGGAGGAACGGTGGGAAACACCTTGCGACGTACGCTGATGCGGCAGGACTTGTTTCGCACCTACGCGGCTGTGGCCTTCCGCCTTCGTTACAGATCCTACAATGTGGACCAGGGCAAGGTCTTCGTATCACGTGCTCAGCCAGCACTTCACGAGTTCTCATCGGTTCCTGGAATCCAGGAGTCCATGATCGATGTTGTGAAGAGCGTGCAGCAGTTGACAGTGGCAAAAGCACCATGGGAGGCACCCGCAGATCTTCCATTGTCCGCGATGGCTTCAGAGCATCCAGGAGAGCCGGATGTCTGGCGGTGGGCCACGCGGAGATGTGGCCCCTGCCCTATCAAGGCTCAGGATATGGATGCTAGGTTCATTTTGGGATAAGTAGACATTTCCCCTATTGTGGTACAAGGGGGCCTTAAACCCTAAACCCTGAACGAAAGTACCACCCAGGATATGGTGGATAGCTCTTCCTTCTACGAACAACCCACATACCTCCCTCTGGGCGGCCAGCACTTGCTAGAGATCTCCGCTCCGGCAATGATCGAGTTCGAGGTCGAAGCAACGTGCTGTTCGCAGAGGGAGTGGGAAACTGGGATGTTTAGGGTTTAGGGTTTAGGGTTTAGGGTTTGAATATAATTTTCAATTGTTCTGGGCCCCTAAACCCTAAACCCTAAACCGCTTAGGAAGGCCACGGATTTGTTGATCTTGATGGGGCCCCTTGAGACCATCCCAGGAAATATCGCCCGCATTCGAAGAGTACCGGAAACGCCTGCGCTTCGACCGATGGCTTCTGGTACCTCCCCTCTTCTCACCAGTGAAGAAGGTAAACTATATGGTCACCGCAAGTGAAAACTCTGAAACGGAGTGCGTGCAGCTGCTGGGTTGCTGTTAAGGAACTTAAGTTGAGTTACCATAATAGGTATATTATCTACATATATATATATATAGTAAGTAAGTAATATGGTTTCCCCAGTATAGTAATTCAATTTAAGTTCCTTAAATCCCTATATTCCCCCAGTTTCCATTTCATTTTCCATTTTCTTGTCCATTTGATTCTCCATTATTTTCCCCAGTATAGTAACTTAGATTAAGTTCCTTAAGAGCAACCCAGGCTGGAAGTGTGGACCACGAGATCTGCCAGGCCATCTGACTTAGTCCGCACATCGGCCGCAACGCTGCTGGCATCGCTGATTCTGGGCTTCCCAGTTTAAGCACCGTTTTTTTGTGTGTCCCTTCTTTAAGGATCTCAGGTTCCTTCAGGATACCGGGGCTTGTCACTAGGCCAGTTTAGGATTAAGGGAGGCTATACTTTTCTTATGGGATCCTTTTGAATCCTAGGTCCTACGGTCCTGGGAATTACAGTAGTTTAGGGCCCCTAGGTGGTGCAAGATTTCATCCATCAACAGTAGGTTTCTGTGGATCCTAGGATTGGCAGACGGATGGAAGAGCCGGAGGACTATGCCGGCCTTGATGAAAGATCGGCCTCGAGCTCCAATGCCATGAAGTTCAATGGTACCTTTTTCTTCTTCTTCTTTTCCTAGACCCCCCAACGCGGTTTAGGGTTTAGGGTTTAAGGAAGTACCCTCGATAGACCCTAAATATCCCCAAATAGAAGCTACATAGACCCTATTTTAGGGTACTTGGGGGCTCTAGGTTGGGTTCAGGGTTTAGGGCGCCCCTCCATTGCTCTGTATTTATACCAGTAACCACTAGGAAAAGGGTACCCTTGTTGTGAACCCTAAACCCTAAATCCCAAACCCGAAACCAATGAATGCGATTACCAAGGTGGCAAACCCTGCCGATGCCGCTCTAGGCGAAGATGACGACGCCAACTTTCTGGACGACAGACTAGATGCCTTGGATGAGCTTCTTGACACTGGGCTGGCATTTGGGATACTCATTTTCTGGTTTCGGCGGACCCTATATGCCTGACATTTTTTAAGGGGCTCTATATGGGCCAACCAAGGACAGTGCAAGCCAGAACGACGATGATGAGGATGACGAAGACATGCGGGCTCTGACGGAGGGCCTTTTTGATGTTTGATGCCCGATGTTCTGCTTTCAGCATGACTTCTCGGGCGCAAAGCGTACCGGGGAGGTAATCGTGCAAGCAACTGCTTGTGCGATGACAGAAGCCATAGTCCAAACTCCTAGTATCCCCTTTACAACTGCCTAATTATAACACCTCTTTACGGAGTTCAGACTCTGGCCCACATGGATTTCTAGCGTGGTCGTGGCGTGGCGCGATGTCAGTGGCACAAGAACTGTGGCTCCGGCGAGGGGAAAACACATACTTTGGTTGAGAGGGTTCGGAGTTTAGGGTTTAGGGTTTTGGGTTTAGAGTTATAAATAATCTCTAAAACATATATGGCATACTGTAAGGTATGTCACAATAAGGCTCCCAATGTCTACTGAGTAGACTTAGGATACATAGTCCCCCTTAAGTAGATAGAATAGTTGGTATATGAGGATGTTATTATAATCTGCCCAAAGCCATATTCTATCTACTTAAGGGGGACTACTATGCCCAAAACCCAAAACCCTGAATGGTAGTTTTCATTCTATTTTCCAGTATCCCAATATAACCCCAATATAATCTATTTACTTAAGGGGGACTATAACCCTGAAGCCTAAACCTTAAACCCTAAATCCTAAACCCTAATGAAGATATATTGGGCTCTTTGGGCGCTTTTGCTTACACCAAGGTCTGTCCCGAGAGCATTTTGTGAAGCCTGACTGTGGGGTTTCGGGTGTTTAGGGATCACGCGGTGTAGGGTTTAGGGTTTCGGGCTTTAGGGTGTTTAGTGATCAGAGGGTTTAGGGTTTAGGGTGTTTGGGGATCACAGGGTTTAGAGTTTAGGGTGTTTAGGGATCACAGGGTTTAGGGATCACAGGGTTTGGGGTGTTTAGGGATCACAGGGGTTGGGGTTTAGGGTGTTTAGGGATCGCACGGTTAAAGGTTTAGGGTGTTTAGGGATCACAAGGTTTAGGGTTTAGGGTGTTTAGGGATCACAGGGTTTAGGGTTTAGGGTGTTTAGGGATCACGGGGCTTGGGGTGTTTAGGGATTACAGAGTTTAGGGTTTAGGCTGTTTATGGATCACACGGTGTAGGGTTTAGGGTTTAAGGTGTTTAGGGATCACAGGGTTAGGGTTTAGGGTGGTTAGAGATCACGGGGTTTAGGGTTGAGGTTGTTTAGGGATCACAGGGCTACCCCGAAAACAGCCATTCTTGTGTTATGAGTTCCCTACGCAGGCCCCGCATATTTCCCCCCAAGTTTGCCAGTCCGTATGCCCCCCAAGGTTGTTCCTTAATCAGGTGTATTTAATTAGGGCAAATTAAAGTTGATTAAGGGGGAACGTAAGGGGTGGGGGGTAGTTTAGAGGGGTGGTCAGTGGAACCCGTAGGTTTTGCCAAGTTGCTAAACCATAAACACTGAACCCACAACCCACAACCCCGAAATCCTGAACCCTGTTTCCAAGCCAGAGCTGCACTAAAGTAGTTTCCATTTTCCGTTCCATTATCCCAATAGAACCCCAATGTAACCCTAATTTAATCCCTATATAACCGAATTATAGTGGTTTCCATTTTCTTTTCCATTCTCCCTATATTAGCCCCATTGTACTATAGTAGTTGACGAACTCCTAAACTGCTGGCGACTCTGAGAGGCTCTTAGTGTCCCTGTCGACCCATGCCCGGGTGCAGCATCCTTATCTTAGTAGGGTTTAGGGTTAGGGTACTCACGCTCTAGGGTTTTTAGGGTTTAGGGATTTAGGGGTCTAGGGTTTAGGGAGTTTAGGGTTTAGGGATTTGGGGATTTGGGGATTTAGGGATTCAGGGATTAGGGTTTAGGGCTTGGGGTTGTGGGGTTACACTTTTGGCTTCAATCGCCTCGCTGAAAAACAGAGGTTAGACTTCTTTTGGCCTAGGGAACCTGAAGCCCTTAGCCCAAAACTCAGCCATTGGGTCTTCCTAGGTCTTCGAGGACTTGGTGAAGACCTTCACTCTATGCAACTGCGGCTGGACCAGGCAAGCTTCAGTACAATGAGGGTGCCGACTTTGCGGGATCTGCACTTAGGGTTTAGGGCTTTAGGGTTCAAGGGGTTTAGGGTCAGGGTTCAGGGGATGAGGGTTTAGGGTTCAGTGGTTTAAGGTTTAGGGTTAAGGTAGAAGCCAGAATAAGCAGGAATATCATAGCTGAATCCGTACAGAACTGCGGTATGAACTAACCTTACGACCTATTGCAGGTGTCTAGGCCACTACACAAGGTTTAATCTAGGTTTTCCAGCCTTAGGCCTAGCTAGACCCCAAACCCCAAACACAAACCCCTAAACCTTAAACCCTAAACCCTAAACCCTAAGCCCTAACCCTAAACGCTAACCCAAGGCCACTGAGTTCCCAGCCTCGTTTGTGTCCAAAATTCCAGGGTCTCGTGAAGCATGGTAAAGCAGCTTAGGGAGTGAATTGGGTTTAGGATGTAGGGGTAAGGGTTAAGGGTTTAGGGATACAAGGTTTAGGGTTTAGGGGGTAGGGGGTTTAGGGTTTAGGGTTTAGGGGTTTAGGGGTTTAGGGGTTTAGGGGGGGTGTAGGGTTTAGGGTTTAGGGTTCAGGGTTTAGGGTATGGTGTCAAGG